ATAATCGTTTTAATTGAATGAATAACGTGTATCATCAGTTCGCTCAGACAAGTAGGCATTGTTCGTCCCTGATGAACGGCAGTAGGTGTTAACTACAACTACAAATAGTTCCACACAGTACAACAGGTTACTGGTCGTGTATCGGAGACCAACTGTCTATTTGCCAGTGTACTGTGACGGCCGCATCACGCTGGGAGCTCAAACTTTACCCCAAAAATACAACTCGGAACAAAAAGTAAGATACGTCGAGTACATGAGCACACTATGTCACACTTAAACTTCTTGGCGAAATTCCCTTGTCTTTACTTTGCCAACCCTAGCAGAAATTCCGATTTATATGCATCAAGAAACAGATTCGTAAGAACGGATGCACACTTGGTGCCCATGGGGATGCCTACTTCTTACCCTCACATTTTACATATATATATATAGATGTTATCAATGAGGAAGACCAGTATTTCACACATTGATTTCTCAGATGGCATTTGCTTTGAGTTTTGACAAATTAAAGAAAGACCCTCCTAAATGATTATGGTGAATCTTTGACACAGGGACTTGGTGATGCATTTGTTGGATCCAGCAGTATATCTCTTTGTACGGGTCTTAATGGACATGTGTGGAGGTTTTCAAGTCAAAAGTTGATAGTACTGATGCATGGTTTAGGCAGATGTATTCCTCAGGTAACATACTGACTTTATATGAGGTACTTTTTGATATTTCACTTATACCAAGTTCAAACAATTAAGACCGCCTCCGTGGTCTAGTGGTAGAGCGTCCGCCCGGAGAGCGGAAGGTCCGCGGTTCGATCCCCGACCGCGTCATACCAAAAGACGTTCAAAGATGGTACTTGTTGTTACCCTGTCTCGCGCTCGGCATTAAGGGACTAACACCAGGACTGGTCGGCTCGGAGTCAGTATACTGTGTCTGAGTGGGGTATTCATGTTAAACTGCGGCATGGTATCTCAGTGTGCTAGCACTATAAGTCGGCATCAGTCCGGAGTAGTACAAGCAGCCACACAAACACACACACGTGCATGCACGTCGCTATATAAGTGCAATAATCCTGGACGCGACGTTAAACCCAAATTCACCTCACCTCACCTCAAACAATTAATATAGAGATACTTACATATAATGGTTTTGTTATTTGAAGCTGTCGGTGTCTGTTGTAGGTGGCACGACGTCTAAGGCAACTGGCTGGGACAGGATGACTGTTACTTTTGCCACGCACTTGTATAGTTTAGGAAGTAATGGCAAAACAAGGTCACAAAATGACCCTATGTGATCGAACATAAGACATAAGTCTTATTGTATGTAGAGCCTTGATGACACGGACACTGGTAGGCGTCGACCAAGAGTGTGACCGGGGCCCGGGACCGTGGGTCCCTAGTCCCGTGGGTCCCGAGTCCCGTGGGTCCCTAGTCCCGTGGGTCCCTAGTCCCTTGGGTCCCTAGTCCCGTTGGTCTCTAGTCCCGTTGGTCCCTAGTCCCGTGGGTCCCTAGTCCCGTGGGTCCCAAGTCCCGTGGGTCCCTAGACCCCATGGGTCCCGAGTCCCGTTGGTTCCGAGTCCCGTTGGTCCCGAGTCCCGTTGGTCCCTAGTCACGTGGGGCGACCGCCACCCCCACCGTGTCTCTTTCTTATACCAGTACAAACACACAGTGTTCTACATGATGATGGATGCATTTACGGAAGTACGTACTACTGGATTGGACAATATAAGCAATGAATATTATACACTTTCATTTGAATGAACATGAATAAATTGACTTCACTTCATTGACATTTATACTTATCTATGGAATACTGTAAGGGACATTCTCGCGATCTCGCATTCTCGCGATCTCGACCTATTGAAACGAGCTAAATATGCCCCAAACACGAGAATGCGAGATCGCGAGAACGCGAGATTTGGCCAAAATCTCGCGTTCTCGCTATCTCGCATTCTCGTGTTTTTGGTGCATAGCACGTTTTGTCAAAAGTCGAGAACGCGAGAATGCGACATTTGGACATGATGCAAAATCTCGCAATCTCGCAATCTCAACATGAAATTGCGAGAACGCGAGAAAGCGGCATTTCATTTTCTCGCGATCTCGCGATCTCGTGTTCTCGCGTTTTAGACGCTGTCCGTGCGCATGCGTAAGATCATAAGGTCAAGGCGCGTACGCACGTTATTAGTCCTTTGGTCATGCTTCTTTCATGCTCTTCATTCTCCAAGTAGCATTTAGCAAAATTATGACTAAAGCTTGAAAATGCTATGTAATTTACATACACAAAGTCTGAGTCATCTCTCGTTGTTACAGTTTCCTATGTACTTTATATTAAAACCCTCAACATGCTCAATATAACAAAAAGAAATTGTGTACATGAATGTCCAATAATAGTGAAAACATTAATGTGTCCGAAAGCTGGAAATGAAACTATCACCGTCAGTGAGTGAGTGAGTGAGTGAGTGGGTAATATTGCTAAATGCCGCATCAGCAGTATTGCAGCTATTTGCGGCTACACTGTCAGTTACAGAAATAATTACAGGCCATTGAGTTTCTCAATGAGGCAATATTATACACGGCTAGCATATTCGTGAAAGCACAATTCTCACAGACCATTTTGAAATACAAAATTAATTATCATATTTTCATCCGCTCCAACCTGACTACTAAACATCCCGCTTTACATAATTTTATAGTTAAAATGGATAAAATTATCATTAAACCGCCCACCTGTTATCATAAATGTCCGGACCACTGTTAAAGAGCGAGGAGCGAGTGTTTTATTGTACAATAAACAACAACGACGAGTCGTTTAATGATTATATGAGATATCAACATTATGTACAGCCTCTTTAAGGATGTTGATAAAATGCACAAGGTTTAAAAATATTTACACCTATTTCACACAATCCGATTACACGTACCTTTTCTCCCAATACCGATTGTCATATTGTAACCGGGGTTTGTGCTGGAAAATACAATTTCAGACACAGGCTACGGGTGTGAGTGTTTATTGCCCGAGTAGATAATGACATCCAGTAATGTACAAAACAATAACATTATAAAAACAATAGTACATAGGTTTCATACACATACATATTCACACATTCATTCAGTTCATATAAACGTACGTCTATATTCTGCACATGAACATGAACTTACTAATCAATGATATACAAAATCATTATCTGAACCCTATAATAAACAAACAATTCATCAAGGGCTATAACTCGAACCTGACATCACTACAAGATACAATATAAACCTGGTCCATGTTGTAAAATACACTTAACATTATAAATACAATTACCACTTTCTTGAAACTGCTGTATTTATTCAGTAACTCACCATATATTTGGCACGATACGCTATTTACAATTCATATTTCGAGGCACGACAAACATGTAAATTACCCGTACCCTGTGGGTGACACTGGGATGTTTATCGTATTCAGGCAACCCCCGTGGCGAAAGAAGTGTTTCAGTATCAATAAACTAACGTTTAGTCTCTGAAATCTTTTGTTACACAATACCTTTCTTGACTCCCTATGTCAATCCCTATGCTGTGGAATAGAGCTAGCTTGAGTTGGCTAGACTTGATTTTGAATGCATTTCTAGATGATTTTTTTCATAAAAAATATATTCCACCGTCATGGTGCCGGACTACAACACCTATGGAGAGCACCCTTACGGACACTTCTCTCTCGCAATTAACGTCAAACACGCTGCGTTATAATGTCACAAGCGCACGTGCGAATCATCAGAAATGAGGTCATCATAGATCCATGTTTAATCGTATAATACAGCCCGCTTCGTTTCTTATTAAACGTGTAGTCATCTATAGAGTAAATGAGTGAGTTGGGTTTAACACCGCTTTTAACAGTATTCCAGTTATATCACGGCGTGTCAGCTTAATATGGGAGGAAAGCCCGGAGTGATGCAGGTCTCAGACGTTTACCTGTTAGATGAAACCCACGAGCACGGGTATGGTGCTGACAAACCAAGAAACATAATCGGGGCGAACCGGCATTCGAACCCACAATCATAGGTTTCTGGCGTGCCCAAGGGACGCAACTCTGCCCAGCGAATCGCGGCGCCTCATGGACACAAAAGCACGAGAACGCGAGATTGCGACATTGAAATAGGTCTTCAGCAACCCATGCTTGTCGTAAAATGCGACTGGCGGGATCGGGTAGTCAGGCTCGCTGACTTAGTTGATGCATGTCATCGGTCCCAATTGCGTGGATCTATGCTCATGATGTCAACCACTGAATTGTCTGGTCCATACTCGATTATTTACAGACCACCGTCATATAGCTGGAATATTGCTGAGTGCGGCGTTCAACAACAAACAAACAAAGAAACAATTCTTCCTGAAGGTGACGTGAGGTGAAAGATCGCGTCCAAGATTATTGCACTTATATAGCGACGTGCATGCACGTGTATATGTGTGTGTGTGGCTGCTTGTACTAGTCCGGACTGATGCCGATTTATAGTGCTAGCTCACTGAGATACCATGCCGCAGTTTAACATGAATATCCAACTCAGACACAGTATACTGACTCCGAGCCGACCAGTCCTTTTTAGCCCCTTAATGCCGAGCGCCAGACAGGGTAACAACAAGTACCATCTTTTAACGTCTTTTGGTATGACGCGGCTGGGGATCGAACCCCGGACCTTACGCTCTCCGGGCGGACGCTTTACCATTAGACCACGGAGGCGGTCAATACTATCTGAACATTTTCGGGAACATACATGTTTCACCGTTAATAACATGATTAATAATAATCAGTACTTACTTTACATGTCTGCGGTTATACGGAGTGAGAAGTGAGTGAGTTGGGTTTAACGCCGCTTTTAACATTATTCCAGTTTTGTCGCTGCGTCTCGGCTTAATGTGGGAGGAAAGCCCGTGAACGTCCATTAGTCTACACATGATGTTGTTCAACAGCTTCCAGATCCTGTCCCACTTTTTAAAATGATGTATGACAAAAGTCTTACTCGTGTAGTAACCTGTCCTTATCGCCAACAATGTTTATTTTATTCACGGTAGTAACACATTGATAGTGACGTCGCGAGACAACGCCCCCTGGTGGGAGTGTCAAGGCAGGTGCCCGTCAGAACGCCACTAGACAGCGATGGACACGCCAGGACTAGAACACTGGGGAGATATCACAATCCTTGTCGGATACTTCTTGGTTGTACTGGCAGTGGGCTTGTGGGTAAGTCTACAGCATGGCCGTGTCATGCAGTTGTGTATAAACATTTAACAACCGTCAGGCGTCCATTGTGTTTGAATGCTAACAGTTTAGGAGACAAGTGCATTGGCAATACAGTATTGTTAATCTTTTCAAAATATATTATAATCAGCTTGATTTTATTAAATATGATGTATACATGGAATATATTTATAAACATATATTGAGGCATCAACCCAACCATTGTATTAGACAATTTGTGGATCGATGCTCATGATGTCAATCACTGGATTGTCTGGTCCAGACTCGATTATTTACTGACCGCCGTCATATAGCTGGAATATTGCTGAGTACGGCGTTAAACAATAAACAGACATTGTATTTGACGCTTCGCTACAGCAATGAGAGGGAGACATTTTATTTGGGTACACTTCATTCGTAGTCCGGTGTCTGCGAACTCAATGATGTCCAATGTCCTTTGACATTCAGTACTACTACTACTACTACTACTACTACTACTACTACTGCTACTACTACATAAATGCATAAAACTTAATACCAATGATAAGTATATCATGTACAAGAAAGGTCAGAAATATATATTTGAATGATTGCGTAGAATATGCCTGGCGTTGAATGCAACAGTAGAATATGCCTGGCGTTGAATGCAACAGTAGAATATGCCTGACATTGAATGCAACAGTAAAATATGCCTGGCGTTGAATGCAACAGTAGAATATGCCTGACGTTGAATGCAACAATAGAATATGCCTGAAGTTGAATGCAACAATAGAATATGCCTGACGTTGAATGCAACAGTGGAATATGCCTGGCGTTGAATGCAACAGTAGAATATGCCTGGCGTTGAATGCAACAATAGAATATGCCTGAAGTTGAATGCAACAATAGAATATGCCTGGCGTTGAATGCAACAGTGGAATATGCCTGGCGTTGAATGCAACAGTAGAATATGCCTGGCGTTGAATGCAACTGTAGAATATACCTGAAGTTGAATACAACAGTAGAATGTGCCTGACGTTGAATACAACAGTAGAATATGCCTGACGTTGAATACAACAGTAGAATATGCCTGGCGTTGAATGCAACAGTAGAATATGCCTGGAGTTGAATGCAACAGTAGAATATCCCTGGCGTTGAATGCAACAATAGAATATGCCTGGCGTTGTCGCCATGGTTACCATGTTCGGCATTTCCGTCAACCAATCCTATTCGTGATGTTAATTTAGTTGATAGGAAACTGAAAGACGCAAACATCTCTCAACCTACTATCACAAAAGTCCAAATGTGTAACCTATCCGGCAATGTTTTAAAGAAGGTCTAAAACTGTCTTATATTTAACGCATTAATATCTACTATGTTTGATACAGGCGTGCATGTACATCACGCCGTGTGTCTCTATTAGCGGTCTGAGTGTAATCAAGCTCTGGTCAAGGCTGGTGGTCTGTCGCATTGTGTTACAAGCATTATCAGTGACTGATAACACATACATTACCCATTGTCAGACAATACATCACCACGGGGTAACACAGTCAGCGGTGTGCTATGACTTGGCTTCGAGTGGAAGACAAAGTGTTGGTAACCATAGCCTTTCTCCAAGGCTGTACTGAAAGAAAGGTCTATGGATGTGTAGTCATTCCATCGTCATAATAGGCAAGTCTAGATATGTGGACAGTGCACCCTCTTATGGGGACAACTAGAAATTATGATTTAAAGTAATAATTATTGCCTGTAAGACTTACGGAAGTCTATGGTAACCCTGACGAGGACAAACACTTTCCCCTCAGCGCTTATGGCAATTTGTTTTCTTCCATTTTAAAAAAAGAAACGATTTTCCTGATTTCAATTCAGGGTCGATAATTGTTTTTATCCTTTTCCCTTATTTTCATAATTATTCTACGTTTTTTAAACAAAGAAATGGATAAAGTTTGTTGCCCGTAGGCGAGTCACTGGTGGAGCTGCCGCTCACATCCATACCTTTGTTTGTCTTGTCCTGACCAGGAACGTTGTTGTTGGTGTCAAATCTGAACGTAAGAAGTAGGCCATGTGTATGTGTGTGTGAGTGTAAATATGTTCTAGTATCAAGCCTACGGGAGCTGTATGCTGGGTCATGGCGCCTTGTCGTGTTATCTTGTCATAAAGAAATGTGGGTCTTGTGAAAGTGCATTTACACTGTCAGAGAGTGGGTGAAGGAGGGGGAAGATGGGAGAGTAGGGGAGAAGTTAGACGGGAGAAAGTGAAGCTGGGAGAGGGCGAATCGAAGAGTGGAGGAGAGAAAGAGAGACATGGGACAAGGGGGAGACAACACGAGAGAATGAAAAGAGAGAAAGAGAGAGAGTGGCAGGGGAGAGTAAGTGACACGGTAGAAGAGAGAGAAGGAGAGAGAGAGTAAAGGAGAAAAAGAGAGATGTGGCAGGGGAGAGTAAGTGACACGGTAGGAGAGAGAGAAGGAGAGAGAGAGTAAAGGAGAAAGAGAGAGAAGTGGCAGGGGAGAGTAAGTGACACGGTAGGAGAGAGAGAAGGAGAGAAAGAGAGTAAAGGAGAAAGAGAGAGAGGTGGCAGGGGAGAGTAAGTGACACGGTAGGAGAGAGGAAGAGAGAGAGAGTAAAGGAGGAAGAGAGAGAGGTGGCAGGGGAGAGTAAGTGACCAGGAGAAGAGAGAGGAAGAGAGAGAGAGAGAGAGTAAAGGAGAAAGAGAGAGAGGTGGCAGGGGAGAGTAAGTGACACGGTAGGAGAGAAAGAAAGAGAGAGAGGTGGCAGGGGAGAGTAAGTGACACGGTAGGAGAGAGAGGAAGAGAGAGAGGTGGCAGGGGAGAGTAAGTGACACGGTAGGAGAGAAAGAAAGAGAGAGAGAGTAAAGGAGAAAGTGAAAGAGGTGGCAGGGGAGAGTACGTGACACGGTAGGAGAGAGGAAGAGAAAGAGAGTAAAGGAGAAAGTGAAAGAGGTGGCAGGGGAGAGTAAGTGACACGGTAGGAGAGAGAGGAAGAGAGAGAGAGAGAGTAAAGGAGAAAGAGAGAGAGGTGGCGGGGAGAGTAAGTGACACGGTAGGAGAGAGAGGAAGAGAGAGAGAGAGTAAAGGAGAAAGAGATAGAGGTGGCGGGGAGAGTAAGTGACACGGTAGGAGAGAGAGGAAGAGAGAGAGAGTAAAGGAGAAAGAGAGAGAGGTGGCAGGGGATAGTAAGTGACACGGTAGGAGAGAGGAAGAGAGAGAGAGAGAGTAAAGGAGAAAGAGAGAGAGGTGGCAGGGGAGAGTAAGTGACACGGTAGGAGAGAAAGAAAGAGAGAGAGGTGGCGGGGAGAGTAAAGTGACACGGTAGGAGAGAGAGGAAGAGAGAGAGAGAGTAAAGGAGAAAGAGAGAGAGGTGGCAGGGGAGAGTAAGTGACACGGTAGGTAGAAAGAAAGAGAGAGAGGTGGCAGGGGAGAGTAAGTGACACGGTAGGAGAGAGGAAGAAAGAGAGAGATTAAAGGAGAAAGAGAGAGAGAGGTGACAGGGGAGAGTAAGTGACACGGTAGGAGAGAGAGGAAGAGAGAGAGAGAGAGTAAAGGAGAAAGAGAGGGAGGTGGCAGTGTAGAGTAAGTGACACGGTAGGAGAGAGAGAAAGCGAGAGAAAGAGAGAGAAAGAAAGAGAGTAAGAGAGAAAGAGAGAGATAGGCGGCGGCGAGAGTAAGTGACACGGTAGGAGTGAGAGAAAGCGAAGGAAAGAAAGAGAGTAAGAGAGAAAGAGAGATGTGGCGGGGAGAGTAAGTGACACGGTAGGAGAGAGAGAAAGCGAAAGAAAGAAAGAGAGTAAGAGAGAAAGAGAGATGTGGCGGGGAGAGTAGCTGACACGGTAGGAGAGAGAGGAAGAGAGACAGAGAGAAAGACAGAAAGAGTAAGAGAGAAAGAGAGAGAGGTGGCGGGGAGAGTAAGTGACACGGTAGGAGAGAGAGGAAGAGAGAGAGAGAGAGAAAAGGAGAAAGAGAGATGTTGCAGGGTACAGTAAGTGACACGGTAGGAGAGATAGAAAGCGAGAGAAAGAGAGAGAAAGAAAGAGAGTAAGAGAGAAAGAGAGATAGGCGGCGGCGAGAGTAAGTGACACGGTAGGAGTGAGGGAAAGAGAGAGAAAGCGAGAGAAAGAGAGAGAGAGTAAGAGAGAGAGGTGGCAGGGAAGTGGGTGAGGAAGAAAGAGAGAAGGAGAGAAGGAGAGACAGGAGGGGATAGACATCAGACACGGCATTATAGACAAAGATTTATTTCTGTAATGTGAGGCCACACAGGCGAATAATACTGTCAACGCGCATATTGACGGGGAATTAGCTCTTGGAGGAATCAAGGACAAAATCACTGTCCCGGGACGTTTTATGCACATGTAATTTAAAACAATAAATAACAAATACGCAATGAGCGGAATACCTGCTCTGACAACACAAACACAGAGATGAGCGGACCTTCCAGCTCAGGCATACATGAGGTGATATAGTATTCCAGGTTGGCTGTCAGTCAATATACAATGAAATGTTGGTGAGGATTAACAACGGGGATTAGCGCCTAAAACGTAATGACAATTACAGGGTAATTTGCCTATGGAGTCAAATGTTCTTCAGATCATGGTAGTAAATCAGTCGCTATGACAATGCATTTTAATAGGTCAGTGCAGCTTGAGTGGCTGACGAGCTGGCAGACTCACATAGGACTGTTCTCTGATAAAGGTTATCTTCTCTCCAGTCACTATGCCGACCAGACCGAGGCAGCGTCAAGAGCTACTTTCTCGCCGGAAGAAGTATGACCTGGTTTCCGGTAAGACATGCGCATTATATTCATCAGTCTTTGATATCTCACAGAGACTGTATAACACACACGGGCCCGCACGATGTTTTATAAACTTGACCCGCCTTGACCTGCTCATCTCTTTCCATATCATGTAAGCTTTTACAAGAGTTTTATTCAGTGAATTTACAAATGAGTTAAAATGTAAAATTAATGAAACGAAACGCGCCTTTATTTCTGTTTGAAGAGGTCTTCATTAAACATGGTCACGCATGAGAACTGTTCTGCAGTTACCTGATGTATGTACTACGTTGACTTTGATAATTATATACTACAGCATTTTAAACAGTATAGGGAGTGTGTGACATATGAACGCTGACGGAGTGGGATGAATTATTTAACCATTCACACCATGGTTTCCAGGCCAGCAAAAACATAACAGCAAAAGAAAATATTTTAATTTTAAACTTTACCAATACACCATGGAAAGCGTTTTAATCGCGTTGAAACATGCGTCCACTCTTCAAATATAGAAACGCACAGGTAGTATGTAGTTGATTGAACCTGACTACACCAAAAATCCGGTATATAAATTGGATATAATTTATGTTATTGGAAAATGTTGGTGGCCTGATATTTGACAAACGCTGCGTCAAAACGCAGCCATTGTCGAATTGCAATGTCTTAAACGGAATTGTTTTCACACTTGTTCAAAAATGTCGTGCAGGAAAACAGTAAAGCAAAATGCACGTGCAAGTAATGGCATTCGTAACACGGGGCAGTGGCTATAAAAAGGCAAGCACAAGCCAATAATTTGCCATTCAATTGTCAACATTTTTCAAGTTCGAAAATGCCGAGACTCAGCGCTGCCGATCGGAACATCGCCATAGGACGTATCCAAAGAGGAGAATCCTAGTCTTCCGTCGCACGCCACTTCAACGTCCACCACAGCACCATTTGCCGCCTTTTTGACCGATATACCCAGTTCAATTCCACTGCAGTCCGAGAACCGGCCGACCAAGAGTTACCACCCCTGCACAGGATCGCAACATTCGACTGTTCCACCCATGTCATCGCAATGCCAGAGACTGCAGAACGCATCTCTGGTTTGAGGAGGATATTGGACCAGACTGTCAGGAACCATCTTCGCGAGGCTGAAATCCGACCCAGAAGACCAGTTATCGTCCCTGTTTTACAACAGATCCACCAACAGCGAAGCTTGCGTTGGCGCCATACCTTACAGCCTTGGAATGTGAGAAACTGGAGACGAGGGTGGTTTAGCGATGAATCACGATTTCTTCTCCACCGGCGGGATGGAAGACAACAAATGGTATCAGTATGTTGTTCCTATAGTACTGTCCAGTGACCCTTCCTTGCACAATATGGAGTTGGTTTCGATCAGGCATAATGATGCCACCCAACACCATAACCTATCATCGCCAAATTCTGTCAGGAGGTATGATGATGACATTGGCTTGGCGTTCATTTCGACGTCGCCAGACATGACCACGCCCTTCAAGTGCAAAGTGAATCGGGACTCATCTGAAAACATGACGTTGTGTTTGTTTGTTGTTTAACGCCGCACTCTGAAATATTCCAGCTATATGACGGCGGTCTGTAAATAATCGAGTCAGTCCCAGACAATCCAGTGATTGACATCATAAGCATCGATCGCAAATGGGATACGATGACATGCATCAACCAAGTCTGACCACCTGATCCCGTTAGTCGCCTCTTATGACAAGCATGGGTTGCTGAAGACCAATTCTAACGCGGATCGTCACGGGTACAAGGCATGACCAACGACGATTACCCCAGTTTCGACGTTGTGTACACCACTGACGTCTGTTGGCAATGTGACGATTTGCAAGGGGTGGCCGTCGAGCATGGCGATGAGTTGCATGTAGCCGATTTCTATCGTCTGAGACATAACTCGTCCTCAAGTAGCCTGATGAAAGTTTGCAGCAATCGCCGTTTGAGCTCAATTTCGAAGAGCCTGTTTTCGGGTCAATCGATCCTGTATTGCCGTTGCCCGGGAACGCCCTGAAGGGGGTCGATCGTTAACATTTTGGATTTGTTGGTACCTGTCCCATAGTCTGCTAATCACAGATCGTGAAACATTGAACGTATTGGCCACTGCGAGCAGACGTCTGCCAGCTTCCAGCATTCCGATACCCCGTAGCCACTGTGCCTGTTGCAGACGCCGCTAGTTCTTCCACAAAGAATGAATCAAATCAAGTAAATCACAACTGTACGATAAGCAGAATCAATACAATTGACATAAATTATGGTCCACAGAGATTAATCGACCTTCTGTCAAAAGCAGGAATGACAGCCTACGCACGTGTGTGGCGCTACAGGTGTTACATTTTACAGACATAAACGTCCTTGCTCAGGATGTTCGTTAACACTTATCTTTGTTTTAATACTTGGTATTAACATTTATGTTTCATGATCACCACCTTTTGTCTAGGACCTGTGAAGATCCAGGGTAGAATAGGTCTTCAGCAACCCATGCTTGCCGTAAAAAGCGACTATGCTTGTCGTAAACGGCGACTAACGAGATCGGGTGGTCAGGCTCGCTGACTTGGCTGATCCATGTCATCGCATCCCAATTGCGTGGATCGATGCTCATGATGTCAATCATTGGATTGTCTGGTCCAGACTCGATTATTTACAGACCGCCGTCATATAGCTGGGATATTGCTGAGTGCGGCGTTAAACAACAAATAAACAAACAAACAATGACACCTTTTGTTTAGACTATAGATATATACGACCCAAAGGTCAATACGGTCAGTTCAGTGTGACGTCACTCTGGATACACAAGGCCTGTTTGGGCTTCAGTCAGGTTAAGATCATGATTCCTGATTTCTAGGTACCCGACTTTGGAAGGAAACACGTTAATAAGGGTCCAAGTTAACGAATGGCTGCCTATGTTTTATTAACTGTACAATGAAAATATAAACCGACAACAATGTTTCTTCTGATGTCAAAATACCCCCAAAGTCTGGTGCAACCCTTGAACTTAGCTCTTTTTATATTCTGCTGAATAATATCTTTTTATCCTGCGGCAGTGTTAATATGCAACTCACGCCAAAAAGTATCACTTTCTTGAGGAGTTTGAAGATTTGTGACGAAAGTAATGAAAAAGTGTTATGGTATTAAGATACTGGTGAAAGCTGACGAAAGCCTTTGTGTGGTTTCACGGCCCTGGTGCTTCAGACAGACAGACAGACAGACAGACAGACAGACAGACGCACGTACGCACGCACAGACACACAAACCCACACACACACACACACATACACTCACTCACACACACGCACACTCTCTCACACACACACACACGCACGCACGCACACACACACACACACACACACACACACACACACACACACACACACTCACACACTCACACACACGCACACTCTCTCACACACACACACACACGCACGCACGCGCACGCACACACACGCACGCACACACGCACACACGCACACACACACACTTATTGTGTATTATCGTAACCCGACGGCGAGATAGCTGTTCATGCTATCGACCACTGGTTTCCCCTGGGCTCCGTTCCACAAAGCGATCGCAGCTGAGGAGATCGTAACTCCCGTACTGTAACACAGACTTACGACAGTCGTAGCGCTAAGATAGCTTTGTGAAACGGGGCACCGGATGGGCTTTTACAAATATTCCAGCAAAATCACGAAGGGGGAGACCAGAAACGGGCTGAACATTTTGTGCGCTTCACTGCAGGTCGGGGCATCTCTCTTCTCCAGCAACATCGGCAGCGAACACTTCGTCGGCCTAGCTGGGACGGGGGCGGCAGCTGGAATTGCCATGGTATCGTACGAGTGGATGGTGAGATCCGTTTCATTTTCACATTTTCATATTTTCACACATTTCAGAAAGTATCATTTTATTCATAATTTCCCATATTCATATTTTGGTATTATCACTTATATATACAGTAAGCTACGGTTATAACGAACTAAAGGGGACCACTAATTCTAGTTCGTTATAACCGCAGTTCCTTATAGGTACATATGCAGCCTATATAAAGTAAAAGGACGGGACCCCAAAACAGTTCCATATATCCGTCAGTTCGGTATAAGCGTGTTTGTTATAAACTTAGTTTACTGTATATGTTAATACTTTCACATTATTAAAATGTGTGTGTCGAGACAGCCAGTGTGTTTTTCAGCCAGGTCTATCATCTCTGAAATCCCAGCCGGGGAAGCATAGTCACCAACACAAGACTCCCCCATCCCCCTCCCGCCGTTTGCCGTTGAAAATAGTCGAATATATATGTCACCAATTCTCCTATGACTAGAGAGGTTATACAGATGACTTACCTGGTTTTGTTAGCAGAAACCAATCAGGTCAGTAAATGTCATGGATTTGAAAGTTGACGCAAAACGACTATTAGTATATCTCTTTTGTACTATAAATCAATACAATGCAATCACGAGGTCTGGCAATAAAGATGACATTATCGTGGGCGTTCTGTCATTGTCAGAGATATATCAGGTAATCTAACGGTCACTCATACAATAGTGTTGTGCAACATTGGATATGTTTCTTCAGATAAAGGTTAAACGTGAAGTAAAACCTTTTTTTCGAACTGAAAACGCTGAGCGTCTGTTTTCGGATTGGTATCGCATTCACAGGTATCGTATTTCATTCAAAGATGTCCATGGACACCGAAATACTGTCACAGCCATCTTAGTACAGTCACAGACATACAAGTGTATTCACAGACATCTTAGTGCAGTCACGGACGTCTTAGTACAGTCACAGACATACAAGTGTATTCACAGACATCTTAGTGCAGTCACAGACATCTTAGAGCAGTCACAGACATACAAGTGTATTTACAGACATCTTAGTGCAGTCACAGACATCTTAGTGCAGTCACAGACATACAAGTGTATTCACAGACATCTTAGTGCAGTCACAGACATCTTAGTGCAGTCACAGGCATCTTAGTGCAGTCATAGATGTATTAGTGCAGTCACAGACATCTTAGTGCAGTCACAGCCATCTTAGAGCAGTCACAGACATACAAGTGTATTCACAGACATCTTAGTGCAGTCACAGACATCTTAGTGTTGTCACAGATATCTTAGTGCAGTCACAGACATCTTAGAGCAGTCACGGACATACAAGTGTATTCACAGACATCTTAGTGCAGTCACGGACGTCTTTGTACAGTCACACACATCTTAGTGCAGTCACAGATATATTAGTGTATTCACAGACATCTTAGCTCATCACAGACTTCTTAGTGTAGTCACAGATATCTTGGTGTAGTCACAGACATATTAGTGTATTCACAGACATCTTAGTGCAGTCACGGACGTCTTATTACAGTCACAGACATCTTAGTGCAGTCACAGACATCTTAGTGTATTCAGACATCTTAGTGCAGTCACAGACATATTATTGTTGTCACAGATATCTTAGTGCAGTCACAGACATCTTAGAGCAGTCACGGACATACAAGTGTATTCACTGACATCTTAGAGCAGTCACAGACATACAAGTGTATCCACAGACATCTTAGTGCAGTCACAGACATCTTAGTGCAGTCATAGATATCTTAGTGCAGGCACAGACATACAAGTGTATTCACAGACATCTAAGTGCAGTCACAGACATCTTAGTGCAGTCACAGATATCTTAGTGCAGTCACAGACGTATTAGTCTATTCACAGACATACAAGTGTATTCACAGACATCTTAGTGCAGTCACGGACGTCTTAGTACAGTCACAGACATCTTAGTGTAGTCACATACATCTTAGTTCATCACAGACATCTTAGTGCAGTCACAGACATCTTAGTGCAGTCACAGCCATCTTAGAGCAGTCACAGACATAGAAGTGTATTCACAGACATCTTAGTGCAGTCACGGACGTCTTAGTACAGTCACAGACATCTTAGTGTAGTCACATACATCTTAGTTCATCACAGACATCTTAGTGCAGTCACAGACATCTTAGTGCAGTCACAGCCATCTTAGAGCAGTCACAGACATAGAAGTGTATTCACAGACATCTTAGTGCAGTCACAGACATATTAGTCTATTCACAGACATACAAGTGTATTCACAGACATCTTAGTGCAGTCACGGTCGTCTTAGTACAGTCACAGACATCTTAGTGCAGTCACAGACATATTAGTGTATTCACAGACATCTTAGCTCATCACAGACTTCTTAGTGTATTCACAGACATATTAGTGTATTCACAGACATCTTAGTGCAGTCACGGACGTCTTAGTACAGTCACAGACATCTTAGTGCAGTCACAGACATCTTAGTTTATTCACAGACATTTTAGTGCAGTCACAGACATGTTAGTGTATTCACAGACATGTTAGTGCAGTCACAGACATATTAGTACAGTCACAGACATCTTAGTGTAGTCACAGCTATCTTAGTGTAGTCACAGTTATCTTAGTTCATCACAGACTTCTTAGTGTAGTCACGGATATATTTGTTCATCACAGACTTCTTAGTGTAGTCACGGATATATTCGTTCATCACAGACTTCTTAGTGTAGTCACGGATATATTCGTTCATCACAGACTTCTTAGTGTAGTCACGGATATATTCGTTCATCACAGACTTCTTACTGTAGTCACGGATATATTCGTTCATCACAGACTTCTTAGGGCAGTCACATAAACTGACGGCCAAAAGAAACGTTACCAACGATATTTCTAGGATAAAATATGACCAACACAATTTGAAGCAGCAATAACAATTGTATTGTAGAAATTCATCATTCGGAACAGTAAAATGCGAATTTACTAATTTAACAACAAAGTCCTTGACCTCCAACAGGGACATTTCTTGACAAGGGGTCATTCGTCCAGTATTCGATCAACAACATTGGTTACAACTTTAAGGTGACGACGGCCCAGACCGTTCAATACGGGATATGACCTCCATGAGCGGCAATGCATCTTCGAATGCGGCGTCGAACTGAGTAGACAAGCGTCCTCACATAGACTGCAGGTATCCGATTCCATTCCTCACGGAGGGCAGCGATCAACGCTTGTCTCGTGAAGGGAGGATGTTGACGTTTCCGAAGACGACGCCCCAGCAGGTCCCAGAGATGTTCTATGGGTGACAGATCTGGTGATCGAGCTGGCCACGGCAGGACAGTCACGTTGTTGGCGTTGAGGAAGTCCCTAGTAATACGGGCTTTATGGGGTGTGGCGTTATCTTGTTGGAACACCGTCCGTTGTTGACGCTGGATGAAAGGAGGAACCACTGGCCGTAAGATATTGTCAATGTAGCGTTGTGCTGTCAGATTGCCTTCGATGATGACAAATTCCGTCTTCTCGTCCCCGCAAATGCCGCCCCAGACCATCACACTTCCGCCCCCGTAAGGTTCCACCTCCTGGACACAACAAGGAGCCGTACGTTCACCACGTCGTCGATAAACTCGCGTCCGCCCATCATGTTTGAAGAGTTGGAACCTGCTCTCGTCACTAAACAGCACTCGCCGCCATTCCCTTTGTTGCCATCGCTGAGTTTGCCAGCACCACGTCAATCTGGCACATCTATTTTGACGGGTCAAGGTCATGCCCTTGAAAGGGCGATAAGCCCGGAGACCATAATGTCGTAGTCGTCTGGTCACTGTTTGTCTGCTGACCGGATGTCCTAAACTGTTGGCAGCTGATGACGTCACAGTAAGAAATCTGTTCCTCAGATGAAGTACCCGTAAATAGCGGTCATCCTGCGGGGTCGTGACCTTTGGTCTGCCACTCCGTGGTCTGTCTGCGGTTCTGCCATTCTGTCGGAGACGTGCGACCAGTCTGGTAATGGTCATCTTGGAGCAGTTTATGTTAAAGGCAACCACTCTCTGTGTCGCTCCCATCTGCAGCATATCTATGGCTCTCTCCCTCTGGACAGCGGTCAGTCTTGGCATGTTCGTTGGTGTTAATCATCGCAACCAATGATAGGGAACAGATCCTTGCGTCATTTATACCCGGAAATTGCACGATAATTTGGGAAAGAATGTTTAAATAAATTGCTGACAAACACCAATATCTCCCAAAATCCGCAAAGCACGTGCAAAGAACGACAGAGAACATGAAGGCTGTATTCGTGAGATGTGTTCTTTACTGTTTTTGAACAGGTTGGCATCTTTGTTTCAAAGTGGCAAATCAGTTAAAGTTGGTAACGTTTCTTTTGGCCGTCAGTTTATATCTTACTGCATTCACAGACATCTTAGTGCATTTACGGACTTCTTAATGCATTCAAAGGCGTATTATTGTAGTCCCATGTCATTTACACATGTATTGCATTCACAGGTATCCACCTGCACAGATGTGATGGTTGGCGAGGATTTAGGATGGGAGCTACGTGTTCTCTGAAAGCGATATTTATTGAAACTAACCACAGCAAAACTCGTTAATGTGTACATCCAGCTTTTGTCCACAACTTTTGTATCAGTAAATTACTCATTAAGAAATATGCTCGGACTAATTGTTTAATATACATTGGATTTTCTCGTTTCATTTTTCACTCCATTTGCAATATAAATACACAAAGATAAATAGGAACTCTCCCATAGAAACATTTTTCTCAGCTTTAACCACATTTGACATTCTAGGGAGCCTGGGATGTTATCGAAAAGAAAATTATGGGTCATGTTGTTGGAAATGAAAGAAAAGAATAATTGAAAAAAAATATCTTGGGTTATAAAAATATTATTAATAAAAAATATCCGGTTTTATTACAAAATCTCCCCCACTCGAGTATGTTCGTGTAAATGGACAGAACAATTATAAACATCTGTGTAAATGGCTGTCCATCCATCCATCTATCACCCAACCATCCGTCCATCGACCAATCAATTCATCATCCAACCATCCATCCGTCCATCCATCCGTCCATCCATCCATCCGTCCATCCATCCATCCATCCATCCATCCGTCCATCCATCCATCCATCCATCCATCCATCACCCAACCATCAATCCATCCACCAATCAATTCATCATCCAACCATCCATCCGTCCATCCATCCATCCATCCATCCATCCATCCATCCATCCGTCCGTCCATCCATCCATCCTTCTGGACCTCGCATCGTAGTTTCATACACTGCATGGCTTCAGCAAATAAGACCGATAAATGAGAAATATAGCCACCTTGATGCCACCACTTGTACTGCAAACAAAGTCAAAGATTTCCTGAAAGGTTTCATTGGCTTGGTGTCAGAAGCAAGAGTCAACTTCCGTCCGGAAGTAGTGTCACACTTTATCATTTAGATGATCAACGGTATGTTTTCCCTGTCAGTGTCATTGGGCTATTTATCAGACAAACGCTAAGGAAGCCATAGAGACTCTCGTTAGGTGATCAGCTGCTTGGAAGAACTGTCATGCCGAACACCAACAAATGGCAGTGAAATGTTTGGGCCGAGACTGTAAAACTGCGCCAAACGAATATATTTCTTAACGTTTTTCTTCATTTATAAGCAGCAACATTTCTGCACTTGTACACGGCAGGCGTAATTCAAAATTAACATACCGTCTTGATTGGTTTCAACAAAATCAGTGATGATTCTCTCGTGTCAATGCATTTTCATCAATCACTTGATTGTCTGGTTTGTTTACAGGCTGACGTCGCATAGCTGTGCTGCTGTGATGCTCCAGGCAATAAATACCTTTTAATGCAAATTGTATGAATGACAGGTGCTACCGGTAGGGCAGGACATGCTTTGCTTTTCGCGATCACTGATTTTCAGCGGTTCATTCATATATTTGCAACAGCTCTTTGCCCTTTACGCCAAGTGGAATGTGTTTCGGCAGAAAATCTAGGCTGGTTGTTCTCTTGCACTGACACTTTATATATATTGTTATTCTGTAAACAGCTGTATGTACTTGGTCATAAAGGAGTCTCAGAAGATGGTGTTCAATAGAAATTGTATTTTTATGATACAATTGCTCTATTTCAGGAATCGGCAGTGGCAAGAATGCCGACACGCCGGGGGATATTTACCGATAATGCAATCCTTTATTTAGTCATTCACCACAAGTCAGCGGGAGAAGGCAGCAGTCAGCACTATGCCAGGGAGGTGACAGACCAGTGGGTGATAGAACAAATATCAGTCTACGCTGTCGGGCTGAGGTTTCAGTCTATGCCTCTAGCTCGGAGATGTCTTAGTCAATGTCGACACCTCTGCTTGTTTCAGTCTATGCCTCTGGTTCTGTGTCAAGGCTAATGTTGACACCTCTGCTTGTTTCAGTCTATGCCTCTGGTTCTGTGTCAAGCCTAATGTTGACAGCCCTAAATGTTTCAGTCTATGTCTCTGGATCTGTGTCAAGGCTAATGTTGACACCTGTCTATGTTTCAGTCTATGCCTCTGGTTCTGTGTCAAGGCTAATGTTGACAGCCCTAAATGTTTCAGTCTATGTCTCTGGATCTGTGTCAAGGCTAATGTTGACACCTGTCTATGTTTCAGTCTATGCCTCTGGTTCTGTGTCAAGGCTAATGTTGACACATCTGAATGTTTCAGTCTATGACCCTGGTTCTGTGTCAAGGCTAATGTTGACACCTCTGCTTGTTTCAGTCTATGCCTCTGGTTCTGTGTCAAGGCTAATGTTGACACCTCTGCTTGTTTCAGTCTATGACCCTGGTTCTGTGTCAAGGCTAATGTTGACACCTCTGAATGTTTCAGTCCCTGCCTCTGGATCTGTCTCAAGGCCAATGTTAACACCTGTCTATGTTTCAGTCTATGCCTCTGGTTCTGTGTGAAGGTCTGATGTTGACACCTGTCTATGTTTCAGTCTATGCCGCTGGTTCTGTGTGAAGGTCTGATGTTGACACCTGTGTATGTTTCAGTCTATGCCGCTGGTTCTGTGTCTAGGATGGTTGTTCCTGCCAGTCTACATATCAGCCGGGGTGAGTATTTGGCATACTGTTCTTTGGCTCTCTGAAATATCTCCAGTTGACAATGTTTACTGTTGAATATTCAAATATGCGATAGTTTGACTCACGCATCGTTTTTTTTAATTTGAGGAGACCGACACAGGAGCCCATGTCAAGTTAATCCTGTATTATTTTCCAAACTACGATTTGATACCTCACTGTTGTGTACACACCTGTAATCTGCCTCAGGTGTACACCCTCCCTGAGTATATGGCGAAGAGGTTTGGGGGTCAGCGACTGCGGCTCTATCTCAGCGTCCTGTCACTCGTGCTGTACATCGTCACCAAGCTTGCGGTGAGGGAGGCACCTGTCACCATCTACTATGTCTTCACTATATGTAAATGTCGTCATCAGCTGTAATGACGTAACTATTTGTAATGTCGTCATCAGCTGTAATGTCGTCACCATCTGTAATGACGTCAGTATTTGTAATGTCGTCACCATCTGTAATGACGTCACTATATGTAATGTCGTCATCAGCTGTAATGTCGTCAACATCTGTAATGACGTCACTATTTGTAATGTCGTCATCAGCTGTAATGTCGTCACCATCTGTGATGATGTCACTGTTTGTAATGACGTCGCTATCTGTAATGTCACCATCTGCAATGTCGTCACCATATATGCCGAATACATCTTACCTGAACATCTATATGTAATATTTTCAACGGTTTAACACATTGATTTGATAATAAATTTGCTTTTTCTTTCAATATTGGTTAATTAACCTTTCAATAACCTTTGTAATACCTGTTCGTATTTGGATTAAATATGGATATTTTTTAGACTTTTCTGGCACAAATGTACTTTCATGCATACTTTAAAGATTGTAGTAACCGCAACCTTGTCATGACGTATAAATGCCTTCCGACCATGATTGAGAAAGGTGTAATTGTTTAGGAATATTAGTTGCCACGGTGTCGCGGCTGTCAAATCAACAGTTTCATTTAGAGGTGGTTATTTTTATTTGAAACCTCTCGAATCGAATATTTTCTAAATTCATAGTAGAATCTGTAATATTTGCTATATTAAACACATGCTTTGTCCGGTACTGTAGGTCAGCATCTACGCAGGAGGTCTGTTCATCAAGCTTGCTCTAGGATGGAACATGTACATCTCTATAGTGGGGCTGCTTGTCATCACGGGCATATACACTATACTAGGTGAGTTAGTTATGTCCGGTACTGTAGGTCAGCATCTACGCAGGGAGTATGTTATAGTGCATTCATCATGCGGATACTACACGATTGTTGGACGGCGACAGATCATGCTGACTAACAAGGTTCTGTACAGTACTGATCAGAGTCAAATCCTCAACTGTGTTCGTCCCCAGGCAAAACGTTGATCATGTCGAGCTCTCTGTACTGTATGTTGTTTCTCTGACCGCAGGTGGCCTGGCAGCTGTTATCTACACAGACACGTTCCAGACGGTCGTCATGACAATTGGCGCCATCATCCTGGCGGTTCTAGGTGGGAATAGTTCCATAGTCCATCCGCTCCTTACTTTACATGATTTGCAGAAAAGGTGGATAAATAATATGACGTGTTTTGTACGCCGCTTTAGCATAATTCGATCAATGGCAGGTGACAACAAGAAATGGCTTTACATACATGTATTGTACATGAATTGCAGGGTAAGGTTTTCGTCACCACTCGGTCCTTTCCGTGACGTAGAAAACGAAAATCACCACAAACCATCCGGAATGTGGGCATGGTTAAAAGTACTGCAGTACAAAAACTCTATCTACTATTTATGTACACTTTTATCTCATAATACACCGAAGAGACTGTCAGTAGTGTTAAACCACAGTAAATATTGCCAAAAATCCAAATTAGTTGTAAGTTGTAAGTAAATTAGTTGAAACTAGCCCAGCTCGACTCGTCCAATAATACCTCAGCTTGCGCAAGCAGGGGTCCATATTTGAACGAGTTTTCGGACTGTGACATAGGACAACACAGCATGGCGGCAGTCGTGAACCCTCCACAACAGTTCAACTTGTATCTGTCGGCGTCTGTTTCAAAAACAAAGTGCTTACCTATTTTCTGTCACAAAATAAATTGTCTTCAACTATAAGCGGCGGGATCTGGCGTTACGCGGTTTACACGCAATATATCCCTACGCCAATTCTGCCCGAGGTTGTGTGTAAGTACCGGAATAGGACGAGTGGACCCGAGTGAAATGAAACTGTGGCATTAAAGGGGCACTGATCTAACGCAATTCCCCGGGACTGGTTGTTGCCTTTGTTATTGTTTTTTCCCAGTGAGTACCCGGATGTATAGCAGAAATCTAGACTAGTTCGCGACCTCTGATGCGCCATTCGTAAGCGCATTAGTCACTTTTATGGGTAGTAATAAGGGCGTATGGTCACATTGATCAACAAAATGAAATACAGTTTTCGAGATAATAAGGAAATGTAGGTATCTTTGTGAGTAGCATCGGTAATGGTGACGAAGTTTTGATAAGTCACTAGCTTGGTAATTTTGCGATTTTCGTTTACACTATTTTGACTTGCAACACAAAGTATATATTTCACCTGAGCATATGCTTTTTTAAAGTGTGTATATTTTGTTACTGTCAAATGTGTAACAAATTTATTAAACGTCTAAATATTCAGTTATTTTACAAAGTGACTGAAAAACATTTCCATCTGTATTATTATGATAACGAATTCCAAACATTTTGATGTTTAATGTCATCACCAAGAGACTGAAAATGTTACGTTGAAAAGTACATTTCTATGTTGTTTGGCTTCTAATCCAACATAATAATCTGTTGTGATGTTGTTAGGCCCTTTTGGTCGTCTTAATCAATTTTAGTCAATCTGAAGAATTTCCCAACCAAGACGTAGAGGAACAAGAACGAATCGGTTCAATGCTACAGCCAATGAAGGAAAACAAAATGCAGATATCATAATTACAACCTACCAAATTTATGTGTATAAGTTTTAGGCAGCTTCCTTGTTCGAGGAATGTATCCGTGAATATCCACACAAAGGAACAATATCCCACTCGTCTGCAGCTGTACAAAGAAACTTATTCGATGTCACGTGTCTCAGTAACAATCAAATATTTTAAAAGATATATATCGTTTCGGGATATTATAACCCGTGTTCGTTTCTCAACTGATCGCTTGGATTGTTTCAGGTGTTTTACATAGGTGTCAAGTCTCAATGGTCGGCTGAGAAAGCCCACGTGACAACTATTTTCATAGCGATCACGGTTCCTAAAAATTCCATTGAGTGATAGATAACAATGATCAATCAATCAACGTATTATCAGTTAACCCTTTGAACAAAGTATGTTGTTTTTACATCGGCACTTCGCGCCATGATATGAGTGTATTCCCTTTGTTTTAGTAAACCTAGACATGTAAACACTCACTCTTGACATATCCACTGTGCAAGATAACAGTGATTAATCAATCAACGTATTTTCTGTTAATCCTTTGATGACTAGGAACGATCCGTTGATTTACAAAAAAAAGTAAATCAAGTGATCATTCATCTCTTGCTGGGCTGCCACGTGCATATTACATAACACACATTTCACCTCACTTCAAACCTGGATTTAGATAGAATAATTACCCCAGACACAATAAATGCCAAATGGGAACCTTTGTCAGGTAATATAAGTGGTGCTACCACTAATTGTACCTGTAATAAATTCATTAACTGAGCATCAAGTGAATGACGACAAATACACAAGTGTAGGGTTATACAAGAAAACGTGGATGACAACAAGGGAGTAGTAATCGTATTATCGACGCAAGCCGAAATCCGAAAATGCTTTCACTGCATGGATACTGTTTTTAGTATTAAACTATAACCATCTGGGGTATTTCCAAGGTTGACGACGTCCGATGAGCTCCCTTGTTCTTTTTGTCTGTTTGTTTAGGCTGAAGAAATGAATTAACATGCGCCCTTTGTCGAAATCTTTATAGATCACAGTTAACCAATCAGTGTTCAAAAATGCGTAAAACAAATATTGCCTCCAGCCTCCAAGTTTATTTAGCTGTCCTTGCAGACGGTACCCCAGTCTCTGAACACGCTCAGTTGCGTTGCGTATCATCCGGGTACTCACGGGGGAAAAACAATAACAAAGACAACAACCAGTCCGTTAGATCAGTGCCCCTTTAAGAAAATATCCAAGTGAACAAGCGCTGAGACAAAACCAAGTCGACTGAAATGGTCACAGTATCATAATCTAAAATATAATCAAATGGCTCAACTTGAACCAAAACTAAAAGCTTCTGTTAATCATCAAATGTGTTACTGGGGAAGTAATAACGATTTAAGGCAATAAGAGTAAATGTACCCTCCCCTCCACCCTCAGCTGGTCCTGGGGGCACGTGTGGCGCAGTCGTCTAAGGCGCCGCGATTCGCTGTGCAGAGTTGCGTCCCTTGGGCACGCCAGAAACCTATGATTGTGGGTTCGAATCCCGGTTCGTCCCGATTATGTTTCTAGGTTTGTCAGCACCATACCCGTTATCGTAGGTTTCACCAAAGTGGTAAACGTTTAAGACCTGCATCACTTCGGGCTTTCCTCCCACATTAAGCTGACACGCCGTGATATAACTTGAATACTGTTAAAAGCGGCGTTAAACCCAACTCACTCACTCACTCAGCTGGCCCTCTATCTAGTATATCATCGTTGAGGAGTCGTTACTATTCTGCCTCTCCTATTGTGGAATGTTGTTTGGGTTTATCAGGTTTTGTGAAGATAGGCGGATTCGACAACCTCGAGCACCTGTATATGAATGCTGTTCCAAGCGTGAGGGGTAACAACACGACTTGCGGCAACCCCCGGGACGACGCGTTCCATATCCTACGTGACCCCCTCTACTCCGACAACCCCTGGCCCGGATTGTTGCTCCAGTCGTCGCTCGGCTGCCTCTGGTACTGGTGCTGTGACCAGGTAAAGCAGACACAGTTATCTCCCTTCAATGTCAGAGTTATCTTATCCTCGCTACGCTGCCTCTGGTACTGGTGCTGTGACCAGGTAAAGCAGACACAGTTATCTCCCTTCAATGTCAGAGTTATCTTATCCTCGCTACGCTGCCCCTTGTACTGGTGCTGTGACCAGGTAAAGCAGACACAGTTATCTCCCTTCAATGTCAGAGTTATCTTATCCTCGCTACGCTGCCCCTTGTACTGGTGCTGTGACCAGGTAAAGCAGACACAGTTATCTCCCTTCAATGTCAGAGTTATCTTATCCTCGCTACGCTGCCTCTGGTACTGGTGCTGTGACCAGGTAAAGCAGACACAGTTATCTCCCTTCAATGTCAGAGTTATCTTATCCTCACTACGCTGCCCCTTGTACTGGTGCTGTGACCAGGTAAAGGAGACACAGTTATCTCCCTTCAATGTCAGAGTTATCTTATCCTCGCTACGCTGCCTCTGGTACTGGTGCTGTGACAAGGCAAAGCAGAAACAGTTATTCCCCTTTCAAGGTTAGAGTTAATGTGCCAAACTTCGGTGCAATTTATACATACGCAAGTGCTTTATTAAACCCCAATTGTTAATACCTCAACTTAGGTAATAAGTGCTTAAGTGTAGTGTGTAAGTCTTCCAGGAGAAACCACATCAGTGGAGGAGCCGAGGGAAGCTGTCACCGCGGTGTGTCTTGTTTGACATGACCATCTGAACTGGTAGCCATGACTGATCGTGTGTGGTTCTATCCAGGTCATCGTACAGAGATCCTTGGCGGCCAAAGATCTGTCTCACGCCAAAGGGGCGTCCATCCTGTCTGGCTACCTCAAGCTGCTCCCCCTACTTCTCATGATCTACCCAGGGATGATCAGTCGCGCTCTCTACCCAGGTAATACCCTAATGCCATGGAAACGTCAATACCCTACTGCCATGGGAACGTCTTGGCGTCTTGTCGTGTTTAATGTATGCAAACCTTATTGGAAAATGTTAACATAACATTGCTTGATGAATAGTAAGCAGTTTGCAATGCACAATGTATGACTTGGCCAACAGGACCTGCATAAAAGGCATGAACACAACTTGTCGAAATCGCTTTGAAAGTTCTTAGATGTATTCGGGGGCACGGGTGGACCAGTCGTCTAAGGCGCCGCGATTCGCTGTGCAGAGTTGCGTCCCTGCCCACGCCAGAAACCTATGATTGTGGGTTCGAATCACGGTTCGCCCCGATTATGTTTCTAGGTTTGTCAGCACCATACCCGTGCTCGTGGGTTTCACCGAAGTGGTAAACATCTGAGACCTGCATCACTTTGGGCTTTCCTCCCACATTAAGCTGACACGCCGCGATATAACTGGAATACTGTTAAAAGCGGCGTTAAACCCAACTCACTCACTCACTCACTCTTAGATGTATTCCTATTAAAGAGAACTAGACTTTGTTTATGATAGCGCACACTGGACTGACATCTACACGAAGGTTAAATGTGTAGAAAAGGCTTCTTGTAGAGGTTCTGTAATATTGGAACATTAGCCAGACTATGAGCCACCCTCCTTTTCCCAGAAGATGTAGATAGAGAGAGAACAAATATACAGTAAATCTTGTGTCACGGACAAACTTATAGTTGGATTTTCTCTTGAAGTGAACTTGATCCTGCCAGCAATCCTATACGTGCAAGGGGCGGTGGGGTGGCCTAGTGGTTAAAGCGTTCGCTCGTCACGCCGAAGACCCGGGTTCGATTCCCGAAATGGGTAAAAGCGGCGTAAAACCATACTCACTCACTCATGATGTCAATCACTGGATTATGTGGTCCAGACCGCCGTCATGTCGCTGGAATATTGCTGAGTGCGGCCTTTCTCAAACACCTTTAAGCTTTCAGTTATTTCAGTAAGTCAACAAGTTATGTATTTGTTTCAAGTGATTCAGATAGGTAAACAATTATTAACAACTGAACAACAACAACCACGGAAAAGTTGGAACGTGTTCCAGGAATGTATTCAACACCTTCACCACTCACCATAAGACTCAAGTGACTGGTGCAGGTTCGAATCCCACTGACGGATTATTATTTTGTACCCGATGTGTTTCCAGATTCTGTGGGCTGTGTGGACCCAAAGGAGTGTGAGCGGTATTGTGAGAACCCCGTGGGCTGCTCCAACATCGCCTACCCCAAGCTGGTGCTGGAGATCATGCCGATTGGTGGGTCCCCCTCGTGCCCTGAGTCACGTGCACGCGGTGCTTACATGCCGACACATGCACTACGATGCTTACATCTTGACACATGAATCAGAGTATTTACATCTCGACACATGCACCACGAAGTATACACCTCGACACATGCACCGCGGTGCTTCCATGTCGACCTGTGCACCACGGTGCATAAAAATCCACATATGCACCGCTACGCTTACATTTCGACACATGTTGCAGACTAGTTACATCTCAACACATGCATCGACAAATATCACAGCATACGTACATCCCAAAACTTGTATCAGGTTACCTTAAACAGTACCACGGTATTGATGTGATTCTCCAAAAAAGCCCCAAAAGATTCATTTCAAATTTATAAACATTACAATTTCACCCCTGGGTTTCATGATTGAGTAAAAGCAGTCATGTTGGCTTCTCCCCTTCTCCCGTGTAGGTCTGCGAGTCTTGTTGGCTTCTACCCTTCTCCCGTGTAGGTCTGCGAGTCATGTCGGCTTCTTCCCTTCTCCCGTGTAGGTCTGTGAGTCATGTTGGCTTCTTTCCTTCTCCCGTGTAGGTCTGAAAGTCATGTTGGCTTCTTCCCTTCTCCCGTGTAGGTCTGCGAGTCATGTTGGCTTCTTCCCTTCTCCCGTGGAGGTCTGCGAGTCATGTTGACTTCTTCCCTTCTCCCGTGGAGGTCTGCGAGTCATGTTGGCTTCTTCCTTTCTCCCGTGTAGGTCTGCGAGTCATGTTGACTTCTTCCCTTCTCCCGTGTAGATCTGCGAGTCATGTTGACTTCTTTCCTTCTCCCGTGTAGGCCTGCGAGCCATGTTGGCTTCTTCCCTTCTCCCGTGTAGGCCTGAGTGTAATGTTGACTTCTTCCCTTCTCCCGTGTAGGTCTGAGTGTAATGTTGACTTCCTCCCTTCTCCCGTGTAGGTCTGCGAGTCATGTTGGCTTCTTCCCTTCTCCCGTGTAGGTCTGAGTGTAATGTTGACTTCTTCCCTTCTCCCGTGTAGGTCTGAGTGTAATGTTGACTTCCTCCCTTCTCCCGTGTAGGCCTGCGAGTCATGTTGACTTCCTCCCTTCTCACGTGTAGGTCTGCGAGGTCTGATGATGGCTGTGATGCTGTCGGCCATCATGAGTTCCCTGACCTCCATCTTCAACAGCGCCAGCACACTCTTCACCATGGACCTCTGGCGGCGCATGCGCCCTAGAGCCCGACAGAGGGAGCTGCTCATTGTTGGAAGGTAACATTTTGTGACAACAAAGTGCCATTGCTCAATATCAGATGTCGATAATTCCAAATGTGCGCACCGTCCCCCTTTTTCAGACACCAACCTTTGACAGTCCCCCATAATGTGTTTTGTTCACGTCTTGACTCTCAAAGTCCAAGTTCCGCCTCTGCATTCGGAGGGCCAATTTAGACACATAACGACCCCCATGATACACCTCTTGCTTGATAAATATAAAGTACTCATCTTTAATATTACCGTCACTACAAAACCTTGAAATTCACTTTTCTTTGTACGGTCTGACACATCTACCCGTCCCAATGAACAGAGTGTGGGTTATTCGAGATTTAGTCTAACTCTCTAACAAATGTTGCTCGGTAGGAATATTACATAATTATACTTTTTTTATTTCGTGCAGATGTAGACCATCGGCCCATGGTACATCTTATACAATATACAATACTGCGTCGAGCTTGCAGATAATAATACTAATAATAATAGGTTTCCTAACATTCATTGCATGGTAGATAAAGGTAGCTAAATTAATTAAACCTGTTTCATTTGGGTAGACAAGAGTATATTTTTTTTTCAGCGATGGATGGACATAACAATTTAACAATATACACCAATATTTAATACAGCGTTTCAACGCCACTATATATAGTGGAATATTACATATGATAGCGACATACTTGTGATAATTTGCAATATTTGATAAACAGAGAGCGCGGAATGCCCTTCTTGAAAGTAATGTCTTGTGAATCTCTCTTCACCCAGAGTATCTACAGACATATGATGCAGCCTTAATATTACAGACTGCGGCGTAAAACGACATTCATTCACTCAATTTTCTCATTTTCCTACAGGGTGTCGGTGGTATTTCTGTGTGCGGTCAGTATTCTGTGGATCCCATTGGTCAAGTCCTCAGCGGGGGGACAACTCTTCACATACATCCAGGCAGTACAGGGTTATCTGGGAACGCCGATAGGGGCGCTGTTCCTGTGGGCCATTTTGTGGAAAAGAATGAACGAAAACGTAAGTTGATGAAGTGTTCTTTTCTCAATATTAGACTCTTGGGTATTGGATGCGTGGGTGTTTGGATGCGTTGGTATGTGGGTGCGTGGGTATACGTATGTGGGTGCGTGGGTGCGTGGGTATATGGGTGCGTGGGTGGGTTGGTATGTGGGTGCGTCGGTATATGGGTGCGTGGATGGGTTGGTATGTGGGTGCGTGGGTGCGTCGGTATATAGGTGCGTGGATGGGTTGGTATGTGGGTGCGTGGGTGCGTCGGTATATGGTCGCGTGAGTGAGTGGGTATATGGGTGCGTGGGTAGGTTGGTATGTGGGTGGGTTGGTATGTGGGTGGGTTGGTATGTGGGTGTGTGGGTGAGTGGGTATATGGGTGCGTGGGTGGGTTGGTATATAGGTGCGTGGGTGGGTGGGTATATGGGTGCGTGGGTGCGTGGGTGCGTCGGTATATGGGTGCGTGGGTGGGTTGGTATGTGGGTGCGTGGGTGCGTCGGTATATGGGTGCGTGGGTATGTGGATGTGCGTTTTAAAAAGAATCTCACTCATATCATGAGGAGGGTGGTCACTATCGTCATGACAACGAGAAAAGCTATGGTGCTGACAGAGCCCAGGCCGGTACGAGCAGATTCGAACCATGACAATGAGACTCTGGGAGCTTCGGTGCAGAGCTGTGAATAGCTGGACCACAACTGTGAGTGAGTGAGTGAGTGACGAGCCACAAGGCTACCCCCACCCCCCCAACGAAACGACCCTTGTAGAGTGTGAAGGGGACTGGCAAATTCTTGAATTCTTGATGGTAAATGGTAAAAGTCAGGTATTATTCTTTATCTATTAATTTCTTTTTATTGTTGATAGGGTTCTAATTGCTAATTTATTTCTGCTAAATTGTAAAACTCAAATGTGAGTTAAATATTACTATTGATCAAGTTTTAATTAACGCATGTATTTACTCTTTTACTTTTATTTGATGTGGTTTATGTGCAAAGGATTTGTCTCTTCCAGATTTGACTATTTACGCACCGATTTGTTGAGGGTGATGATAAACAACAAACGAACAACATAATTCCTCAAATCTGAGTTCTGCCATTTGACTTTGGAACGTGAACCACTATTTTCCAGGGTGCGTTTTGGGGGATTCTACTCGGACACACCTGCGGCGTCGTGAGGATGGTGATAGACTTCTCCTTCCCCGCCCCCGACTGCGGGGAGCCCGAGACCCGCCCCGCCATCCTGTACAAAGTCCACTACTCCTACTTCGGCTCCCTCAGCCTCGTCATCACCTCCCTTGCCATCGTCGTCTTTAGCCTCATCTCAGAGAAACCGTCCAAGAAACAGGTACATCTTGCCTGACCACCGCTTTCGTCCCTTGGGCACGCCAGAAACCTATGATTGTGGGTTCGAATCCCGGTTCGACCCGATTATGTTTCTAGGTTTGTCAGCACCATACCCGTGTTCGTGGGTTTCACCGAAGTGGTAAACGTCTGAGACCTGCATTACTTCGGGCATTCCTCCAATATTAAGGTGACACGCCGCGATATAACTGGAATACTGTTAAAAGCGGCGTTAAGCCCAACTCACTCAAACCGATAGGAGGGGCCGAAACGTGTATTTGTAACAACACCGCACCCAGGATGTCCACCAAACACGTTTCTTAAATTGTCTTATATAAAAACGTGAGAGAAACATTATTTACTAAAATACGTAAAGCAAGCACCCCCCACCCCCCAACCCAACCTCCACCCCCACCCCTCCTCCCCAATATCAAATGTACCCATAATGGGAATCGAACCCAGGCCACTGACATAACAAACTAACACTTGGACCACTAACATGCCAGACTCCCGCTTTACCTCATTGACCGAGCTTAGTGTATACCCTATCCCAGGAAGAACACAGACGTTCACACCCCTCTACCACACACCCCCACCCCCACCCCCAGCACCACCCCTACACATCTCTACCACCCCTACATCCCTCTAAAACACCAAGGTATTAATTTAAAAAAGGTCATTATTTCATTTCTTTACGTTTACAGTTGCGAGGAGTGACGTGGTGGACACGGATAGACAAGGTCCGGGACGACGACGACTTCGAGGCGAAACCCAGCACATCCGCTAATGGCCGTCAACGTAAGGGGATACATATAGATCATGTCTTACTCGGTGGATTAAGTCTTTGGTGCATGTACCCACTGTGGAGTGCTGTATTCCTTGCTTTCCCAGATTCTCATCAGTTGCTGTTACTCATCGCTTGTCCAGACAGCCCCCCCCAATGTTCATGCAACACAACTTCAGATGCAGCCAGTATTAAATAAAATGCCTTACTTCGCAATAATGCTCCTAAAAAAGAAACGCATAAGCACAGTGTGGCTATAAGGAGCAACACACATTTACTGCGCTTCTGAACGCTTGATGTGTAACGGCATTGTGCAATCAGCACGACAGCAGACACAAGCCCAACATGGAGACAGGGGTCATTTACTGCCTGGCCCCTCAGCCTATGGACGACATGAGAGTATGGGGCACACGATGGGGAGCTCAGCACTCGGTCATAGTGCATGTACAAGCTGTGGCAATGTCGTCCCCATCTTCCCGAAGCAAGGGCTTAAACTGACTATAAAAGTCTAGTTTCCACCCTTGCCGAACTAGGCTGGAATTTCCAGGCTCGATCGTAGCGCCACCAGTGGCTATTACGAGTTATGTCCCTTCTATGTCTCTCTTGTTGACCAATCAGATTCCACCGCTCATATCACTTGCATTGCTTCAAACAAAGTGAAGGCGCCCTGTCAAGACGATCTGATCGATAATCAAGATCTATATTGTAATAAAACGGTACTGACCTCGCGAAGTGCATCAGCTCAGGAAGAAATGTCGTCCCACGTGTATCCCCCTATTCCCGTGGGTCGTCACGTGGTTCTTGTTGTTACCCTGCCTGCATTAAGGGGTTAAAACAAGGACGTGCAACGTGCATGCACGTCGCAATGTAAGTGCAATAATCTTGGACGCGACGTTAAACCCCATTTCACCTCACACATCACCTCACCTTCTTACGAGGAGTATTTATGCACTGGTAATCTAATGAGCTTCAACGCACTATGCAGAGTTCCACCCCTTAACAATGCCAGCAAGGATTCGCTCATCTTGGGTTCGAATCCAAGATTCACCTCAACTGTGATCCTTGGTTTGTCAGCACCATACCGATGCTCGTGCATCTTCCCGAGGCAAGAGAGTTAACTGACTTTAAAAGTCCAGTTTCCATCCTTGCCGAACTAGGCTGGAATTCCTGGGCTCGATCGTAGCGCCACCAGTGGCTATTGCGAGTTATGTCCTTTCAATGCCTCTCCTACTGACCAATCAGATTCAACCTCTCGTATCACTTGCATTTGTTTCAAACAAAACGGTGGCGCCCAGTCAAGACGATCTGATCGATAATCAAGATCTATATATATTGTGATGAAACGAGTCTTACATCGCGAAGTGCATCAAATCACGTGAGCACCTTGATTGAAAACATGAATAGATTTAGAAAATATCTTATGACAACGAGTTAGCGGTGCAAATGCTTTGCAAAAATGCTGCAGTCGACCGGAATCTGCATGACACTTTACGAACCGGATTTCGATTTCGGTGCGCGATTGTGATTGGACTATGCATAGACTCGTTAGTCCAGCCAAAATGTAACTCCATAATACCAGCCTAGTTCGGCAAGGGTGGAAACTGGACTTTTATAGTCAGTTAACTCCCTTGCCTCGGGAAGATGATGCTCGTGGTTTCACCAAAGTGGTAAACGTCTTAGCCCTGTATCACTTAAGCCTTTCCTCCCACATTCAGCTGACACGCGGTGATATAACTATGAAATAAGTTACAGTTCAAGGCGGCGTCAAACTAAACTCATTAACTCACATATTTTACATTTGCTTCCTCAGACTTCGAGATGGCCAACGACGATTCTGAGGAAGAGGGGGAGGATGAAGACACCTCTACTTGTCAACGATGTGTCGACTGTGTGTGTGGGATACCCAAAACTCACGGGAAGTCTCGCGAGACTCCTGAGATTTCCGAAGATCAGAGAATTGACTTTCTCAATCAGAGTTCTATGTGGAAAACAGTCCTCAATGTTAACGCAGCGATTGCCTTCGTCATTTTGGCGTTTCTTTTTGGCTTTTTTCATTAACACATCCTTCACCAACAATAGCCAAACACTTTTGATAGAGACTATGTTGAGAATGTAGAGGGAAAAGGGCTTCACTTTGAGCACCTTGTTTTCTTTAAATACCGCGATCTGAGACATTATAAAGTGGTATATAAGTAGATATAATGCTTGTCTATAGATGTAAATACATTTGATAAAACATCTGTGAGGTCTACGTTGACTTTGACAGCCCGGGCCAACTCGGATCCAACACAAGCCAAACACTTCTGATAGAGACTATGTTGAGAATGTAGATGGAAAACGACTTCCCTTTGAGCACCTTATTTTCTTTAAATACCGCGATCTGAGACACTAAAAAGTGGTATGTAGGTAGGTATAATTCTAATCTATAGATGTGAATCCTTTCCATGTTACATCTGTGAGTTTTAAGTTGATTTTGACAGCCCGGCCCAAGTCGGACCTACCACTTCTGACAGAGATTTTCTTAAGAAAATACAGCAAAAGAGTTTGACTTTAACGGACCAGTTTTCTTTAAATGCTATACACTGTGACATCATAAAGTGGTATATAGGTAGATATAACACTGATCTATAGATGCAAACACACTTGAAGATACATCTGTGTGTTTAAAGTTGATTTTGACAGCCCGGGCCAAGTCGAAACCAACACAAGCCAAACACTTCTGATAGAGACTATGTTGAGAATGTAGAGGGAAAGGGCTTCACTTTGAGCACCTTGTTTTCTTTAAATCGCGCGATCTGAGACACTGTTTATAAAGTGGTATATAGGTAGATATAATATTAGTCTATAGATGTGAATCCATTTCATGATACATGTGTGAGGTTTGAGTTGATTTTGACAGCCCGGGCCAGGTCGGACCGAACACTTGTGTGACTGTTAAATGTTTCGGGAGAAGAGGTCTACTTTAACCAACGTGTCTGCTTTAGGTTGGTTGGTTTGTTGTTTAACGCAGCACTCAGCAATATTCCAGCTATATGACGGCGGTCTGTAAATAATCGAGTCTGGACCAGACAATCCAGTGATTAATATCATGAGCATCGATCCACGCAATTGGGATTGATGACATGCATCAACCAAGTCAGCGAGCCTGACCACCCGATCCCGTTAGTCGCCTTTAACGACAAGCATAGTCACCTTTTAGGGCAAGCATGGGTTGCTGAAGACCTATTCTAACCCGGAATCTTCACGGGTAGTGTCTGCTTTAAATACGATGAACAGTGACATTATTATGTGGTATTTACTTAGATATAGTACTATCCTATAAATATAAACGCTATGCCGACAGATGGAAATTTGTATCGTGATTGCAAGAAGTATTTGATACGTTTCAAATCCTATTTCTACATGTTACCTCGATCAGCGACGCTTTCACACAGCTCCACTTTCTGGTTTTCAAGTGATTTACTCCGAATTACTGAATTATGGCGCACGTTTTTGGTTGGTGATTGTTCAATAATGTCATGTATATATGTTGCATCAATAATATGTAGGTATGGTCGCCGATAATGAAGTAATTAGCCAATACCACTTTGGCCCGTCTTGGCCCGGCCCGGCCCGACTTTTAGGCAATGCCCACATATCATTGTTGCCATATCAACCGGAATGGAAATTCAAACATATCAGCCTATCGCAAAACTGTATCGTCACGGTGATGTGGAGGTCACCGGCGCCAGGATCATATTACAGTTATATCACCAGTAGTGTTTGTATGCATGTCTGTAAATACCCCACGAACAGAATTCACCATGTTAGATGATCGCATTATGTTAATTTCACAAAAACGATCTGAAACATCATTTTTGAAATATGTATTTTATACAACTTCAGGTACCTCATACTAATAGTCACATATACCCTATTTTTCTCGCGAAAGTATTTTGTTTCAAATGTTGTCAGGAAGACCAGGCTTCCTACATTGTGTTGTGTTTGTTTGTTTGTTTGTTTGTATGTTTGTTTGTTTAACACCGCACTCAGCAATATTCGAGCTTTATGACGGCGATCTGTTAATAATCGAGTCTGGACCAGACAGTGCAGTGATTGACATCATGAGCATCGATCTACGCAATTGGGATACAATGACATGTGTCAACCAAGTCAGCAAGTCGGACCACCCGATCCCGTCAGTGGCCTTTTTACGGCAAGCATGGGTTGCTAAGTGCCATTTCTAACCCGGATATCTACGGGGTTCCTACAGTGTGAGGATTTAAGGGAGGTTGATACGGTATATTTATGTAAATGATAAGTTCAGCACTTCTTGTTTTTTTAAGTTGAATGTTACCTTACAATATGGAAAAATGTTCTCATGAAAATAATTTGATGAGTCAGAGTTGTGATGAGTTTTAATACATCATTTCTTCTTTATTTTTACCCAAACAGAAATTTTATCTTCTTTATGATATTTATTCCTGTTTTATCCTCTATCTTTAATTCCAATTTGTTCCTGTGGTTTGATGATTTCTATAATATATTTTAAAGTGAACTTTAAGGTTTTACTGAAGCTGTTAATAATTGTTCGCTGCACATACTGGAATCACTGAAAATAAAATTGTTGTTAAAAACAAACCTGTTCCGCCTTACGGAAGCAATATTTAAAGCACGAAAAGTGAGTGAGTGAGTGAGTGAGTGAGTGAGTGAGTGAGTTTGGTTTTACGCCGCTTTTAGCAATATTCCAGCAATATCACGGCGGGGGACACTAGAAATGGGCTTTACACATTGTACCCATGTTGGAAATCGAACCCGGATCTTCGGCGTGACGAGCAAACGCTTTAACCACTAGGCTATCCGACCGCCCCTTGTGGGGATAATTTTATGAAATTGTGCTTAGTCTTGCTTGCTAAAACAATATCCCCAAAATGTTCATGAGCCTTAAGTATTTGTTTGTTCAGTGACCGAATATGTCTATACTATATTTTGCTCCAAACAGCCCCCCCCCCCCCCCCCCCCGCCCCCGCTACCCTCACACACACTCCCCAGTCTCCTCCCCCCCCCCCCCCCCCCCCCCCGGCGGCTAGGTCATTGCTCGTGCTGTCAACCCCTTGTTTACCTAGATTAGACTCCGGTGTGGTACATCTGGAATGTGTCTGTAAGAAACCCATATCGTTGTCTGACTCGTGTTGTTATGTTGACCACAAAACAATTCTTACCAAGTATCAGACGAAACCAGGAGACGCTGCGTGTGTCGGTAAGCTGTGAGCGTGTTAGGCTATGCTACATCGACATGACCCCTTGACGGTGAAACTGGTGCATTATATAAACGTGTTAACATACTTGTGCAACCATTGGAGAATACGGTCAGGTGGGGGGGGGGGGTATGTTGGCCTACATACCATCTAGGAGGTTGTCTTATCTGAATGACACACGTCGGATACATTACCTCAACACGTACACTGACACTCGAGATGAGATAGGGGGATGGGCACTGGTGGTGAGCTGCACAGTTGCGTCCCTTGGGCTTGCAGGAGCCTATGATCGTTCGTACGAATCCCAGATTTGTCGCTCGATTATGATTCTTGGTTTCTTTGCTAAATGGTAAACGTCCTGCACAGTTGCGTCCCTTGGGCTTGCAGGAGCCCATGATCGTTCGTACGAATCCCAGATTTGTCGCTCGATTATGATTCTTGGTTTCTTTGCTAAATGGTAAACGCCCCAGATCCGTGTATCACGTGTTTCCTCCCATGGTTCCCTCCACCTCAACTTTACAACAGGCCCGCGTGTGTTAGGGGCGTGAAGCCCGACTCACTAACTCCAATCCTCAACTTTACAAAAGGCCCGCGTGTGTTAGGGGCGTGACGCCCGACTCACTAACTCCAATCCTCAACTTTACAAAAGGCCCGCATGTGTTTTGGGCGTGACGCCCGTCGCACTAACTTCAATCCTCAACTTTACAACAGGCCCGCGTGTGTTAGGGGCGTGACGCCCGACTCACTGACTCCAGTCCTCAACTTTACAACAGGCCCGCGTGTGTTAGGGGCGTGACGGCCGACTCACTTACTCCAATCCTAAACTTTACAACAGGCCCGCGTGTGTTAGGGGCGTGACGCCCGACTCACTAACTCCAATCCTCAACTTTACAACAGGCCCGCATGTGTTAGGGGCGTGACGCCCGACTCACTTACTCCAATCCTAAACTTTACAAAAGGCCCGCGTGTGTTAGGGGCGTGACGCCCGACTCACTAACTCCAATCCTCAACTTTACAACAGGCCCGCATGTGTTAGGGGCGTGACGCCCGACTCACTAACTCCAATCCTCAACTTTACAACAGGCCCACATGTGTTAGGGGCGTGACGCCCGACTCACTAACTCCAATTCTTAACTTTACAACAGGCCCGCGTGTGTTAGGGGCGTGACGCCCGACTCATTAACTCCAATCCTCAACTTTACAACAGGCCGATTCACTGACTCCAATCCTTAACTTTTGCAACAGGCCCGCGTGTGTTAGAGGCGTGACGCCCGACTCACTGACTCCAATCCTCAACTTTACAAAAGGCCCGCATGTGTTAGGGGCGTGAAGCCCGACTCACTGACTCCAATCCTTATTTTTACAAAAGGCCCGCATGTGTTAGGGGCGTGAAGCCCGACTCACTGACTCGAATCCTCAACTTTACAAAAGGCCCGCATGTGTTAGGGGCGTGAAGCCCGACTCACTAACTCCAATCCTTAACTTTACAACAGGCCCGCTTGTGTTATGGGCGTGAAGCCCGACTCACTAACTCCAATCCTTAACTTTACAACAGGCCCGCTTGTGTTAGGGGCGTGAAGCCCGACTAACTAACTCCAATCCTTAACTTTACAAAAGGCCCGCATGTTTTAGGGGCGTGACGCCCGACTCACTAACTCCAATCCTTAACTTTACAACGGGCCCAAATGTGTTAGGGGCGTGACGCCCGACTCACTAACTCCAATCCTTAACTTTACAACAGGCCCGCGTGTCAGGGGCGTGACGCCCGACTCACAAACTCCAATCCTTAACTTTACAACAGGCCCGCGTGTCAGGGGCGTGACGCCCGACTCACTAACTCCAATCCTTAACTTTACAACAGGCCCCCATGTCAG